TTTTTTTTTCTACTGATTTGTGTTTTTGGCTATAGGTCTTACTTGAAATGCAAATTATGTTGTTATGGTGTTTGATAATTAAACAGTCATACTTTATTAAAAAAAAATGCATACTAATATTATGCAACGACATGTTTTCATTTATGTTGTTTAATAAAATATGAATTCAATGCAGTTGTTAAAATGATCGATTAACCATTGTTGTATTTACTCCTGCTGAGAAAATGCATTTCATCTTTTGACTTTACTGTGTTTGAATTCAATGCAGTTGTTAAAATAACTGGCTATGTAACTTATGTTCATTTATTCAAATACCTTTTTTTTAAAAATAATAATTTATTTAATACTATTTTTTAAAAAAAATAATAATTTACTTGATTAGATGAAGATTTTGTGTGCAGGTTAAATGGACTTGGACCAGTGAATTTAAGTATTGAATTAACTTGCAAATTTGCACACGACATAGCTTGTTAAATTATTCCAAACAAGTCCATTTTATGGTGGTTGTATGCATATCTATTGACATTGCTGTATTTTTTAATAGTGCATTCTTTTTGAAAGAATACAAATTATAATGACAGTTTAATTAATTATGAGATATAAATGTGAGAAAGTAGATCTTTGACACAAAAAGTTAGAATAATTGTAGATAGTTATGAATTGAATTTTCATCATAGGTTATAGTTGTACTTTTATGAACATGCATATGTGACATTTAATTCTAATGGAAAAGTCTGTTTCACTTGGATGAGTTCACATGTTTCATATTATCGATGAGTAGAGTTGTGATATTTTAGACGACTTTATAGGGTGGCGTTCCATATAAAAAAAATTCAAAATGTTCTCTTCTCACCAACAATTTTTCAAAGTCTAAGTTATTTAACTTAATTCATAAATTTAATTTCATCATTACTCCAAATCTTATATATAAAACTCAATTATTGTTACTTTTTTTATATATAAAATTTATATTATTGATGTACCTATATATGCCTAACTAATAATCACTATTTTAGTATTTTTACATCACATAGCCTATAATCCTTAATTGCTATATAACGTACAATCATTTTTATTCCTTAATTAATTACTCTGATCCCTAAATTGATTCAAACTATTGAAACAAGTTTTCTTTAGCGAAATTGCATCAAAGTCTATGAGCACCCTTGGAATTTCAGCCTTAATATTCTCAAGGATGTTTAATAAGTTGTAGACTATGATAACATATTTTGTATTTTCTAGGATGTTTGACAAAGTGTAGAATATCCAAAAATATTTTGTATTAAAAATTTGGAGCCTAGGTCGAATTAATTTTTATCATTTATAGTGTTCCCATATTTATCATCATGAAATTTATCATTTATAGTGTTTTTCATATTTTGTATTCTCTTTTTACTTTAACTAGTGCGTAGCCCGTGCGATGCACGGGAAAACAATATTACGATTGTATTATAAATTAAATATATAAATAACATTAATCATGATTTATCTATTGTTTTTAAATTAATCCGGGTTGGACACAGTCCGACCGGATGAACAGAGAATCGGTTTATAACCAGTCTAGTTCATTTGAATAAAATATTTGCTCTCGAATCCGTCAACACCAGTCGGTTGGACTGGTAGGATCGATATGATTTTCTAAATAAATTTTGTTATATTTAAAATTATTTTAAATAAAATTTCATATTTAAATAAAATAGATATTTAAACATTGTTTCTCAATTAGTTTAAGCATTTGAATATAAATTGTTTAGATATCTAAGTAACACATTTTAGATATCTATTAAAATGTTTATAAATTAAAACAAACCACAAATGATTTAATAAAATAGCTTGATCGTTTTGATGACGGTCTAGTTCTGAAAACCTTGTATTTACTCTACATTAATAAATATTATAATAAAATATTATTTATTCACATAAATATTAATAAAATGATATATATAAATATTCATAAATCATTAAACATGTTGTCATAAAAGTATTGTTAATACGATTGTTTGAAATTTGGACTACATCATATTCACGTAATAAAATATTTTAAATATAAAATTTATATTAAGGTTCAATAATCGATTTGGTGTGGTCGAACTGATACATAACGTAGTCACCTGGGACCAACCAAGTTGTGTCAATTTTTTTTTACTATTTTAAATATCACCTAAAAGTAATTCAATCAATCTGGGCAGTACCCTAATTCAATCACCCAATTGATCCCGAAGAAATTTTCATATCTTTAAATATATTTAGCTTTATGAAATAAAATTATTTTATGATTCATATAATAAATGTCTACACCAAATGATAGTGTATTAAGATTAGAAATTATATATCTAAAGATGAATTAATTATTTCTACTTTATGCATATTAATAAAAAATAAACATAGTAATTTTTAAAAAAACTAAGATTACTTGATTGATTATGCAATTTAAAGAATATTTTTAGCGTTCAATATTTTTCTTAAAGGCACAAATATAAAGATCGAGATTCTAAAAATTTTGTTATATTCTGAATTGAGATTTTATAAATATAGGGACCGAGATTTTAATGTTATTCGTTGTTTTTAAGAAAAAATAAAAAAATAAAAGCATACACACTTAATAAATTTTAGCTGATTTTTTAAATAATATAATGAACTAAAACCCAAAATTTAAAGTAGCATTTAATGTTGTATGATTTTTAAAGAAAAAATAAGAAAAATAATAAAACTTACTATTTATAGGCAACATTAAATTCTGACCTATTTTTTTGCTACTATTTTTAATAAATGGTAATTCTTATTATATATATATAGATAAAGAATCGATATCATAGTAATTAGTCTAAAAAAACAACTCTGTATTAAAATCTTTATTTGTATTTATTAAAAATCATATATTTATGTAATAATGTGTTAGAGCTGTTATCAAACCGAAACAAACCGAGCTTAAAAATTTCGAGCTCGAGACTAATTCTTGAATATGTTCATATTTGTTCGTTTGATAATCAAACAAAATTTTTTGTTAGTGTTTGTTCATTTATTGGTTCGACACGTTGTCATTTATATAGTTTTGTGAATTGTTTGACAAGTTCGTGTTGATTTTTTTTTAATACCTTACATGTTATCTTATTTAATATTTAATATATATCCATACTTATATATTATATTATATATATATATATATACTATATATAAGAAATTATAAAATACATTTTTATTCGCGAACGCTTGATTAGTTCGCGAACTTATTTGTGTTCGTTCGATAACTAAACGAACATAATTTCATGTTCGAGTTCAGATCGATTACTAAACGAACGAGCTGTTATCAAATATGAACGATCACGAACGAGCTTTGTTTGCGAACAATTCGGTTAGATAACAACCCTAATGGTCTTATATTTATTTATTAATAAATTCATTTGTGTATATATAAAATATATTTATACATTAACAGTTAAAATATTTTTACACACTTTTTGAATACTTTTACAAAAATACAACATTTAAAATAAAACCATACAATAAACCATTAATAAACTAGTCATAAACTAAAAAATAATGAAATTTAAAAATTATTGACAACAATAAATTAAAAACTCATAAATAATAAAATTTAGTATATTTAATTGAATAAAATCTTTATAAATGTAAAAAAAATGGAATTTGAAGGTAAATGATGCAATTTTTTTTCCCTAAAAAAAAGTTGAATAATGGACTTGTAACATGTTTCTTTTAATTTTATAACCCACCAAAAATAGCCCAGTATTTTAAAGATCAAATGTGCCAGCCCAAAATAAGAGGCCCATTTATAGAATAAATCCCAACACGAAATTGTAAAAGCCCAAATATAACGCCAGGTTATCCCCTCAATACAACTGCCTCCAACTTCCAATCCCCAACACAAACCTCGAAAAATCAAAAACCCTAATCTCACTCATCTGATCTCCAGCAATCCAAGATTCCAATCAACTATGGTAGGCTTCGAGGTAGGCGCTGTTCCGTTCAACCCCGACGGTTGGGGCCCGCCAGAATCCGCCTCCGCCGCGCTCTCCGTGCCCAACCACCCCTCCAACGTCCCCTTCGCCCCCTTCTCCCGCTCCGAGAAGCTGGGTCGGATCGCCGACTGGACCCGGAACATCAACAACCAGGCCCGACCCGGATCCAAGCATGGCGGAGGCTACCACCCCTCTGATTCCGCCTTCGATTTCTCCGGCGACGATTCGTTCGCCACCCTCGCTGCCGAAGAGGACGCCTCCTTCCGCCTCGTCGACACCTCGTCCAAATCGCACCACTACAACCCCAACCGCCCTAAGTTCAACCCCCGGTGGCGGTTCAACCCCCACCACGCCCGATCCCAGCTCCCGCAGCGCCGCGACGAAGAGGTTGAGGCCCGGAAGCGCGAGGCCGAGAAAGAGCGCGCCCGCCGTGACAGAATGTACAACAACCGCTCCCAGATGCCCCAGCGCCGTGAGTCCTCGGTTTTCAAGTCGTCCGTCGATATTCAGCCCGAGTGGAACATGCTGGATCAGATCCCGTTCTCCACCTTCTCCAAGCTGTCCTTTTCTGTCCCGGAGCCTGAGGATATGCTGATTTGCGGTGGGCTCGAATTTTACGACAGGTCTTACGATCGGATTACTCCGAAGAACTGCCGTCCA